ATCCTATGGAGGGAGTCTCCACATGACAAGGTTCAAGAGTTTGAGTTAAACACGGTCACCTATGGGGTTGGAACAGCTCCTTATTTAGCTCTGAGGGTGCTGAAGGAAATCTCTGTCGTCTATGGTCAACAATACCCTGCGGTACAAGCAGCTCTGATGTCTCAAACTTACATGGACAACATTTGTACGGGTGCAGGCAGCATCCAGGAAGCCCAAGCCCTTAAAGATGATTTGATCTCTATTCTCGGCAAGTTCGGCCTAGAGTTAAAGAAATGGGCTAGTAATTCTGCTCCCTTGTTGGAGAATATACCGACAGAAGACCGGGCAGCTGGGTCACTCACTTTCAACATCGAAAACTTACCTCAAGTTCAGATCTTAGACATGAAGTGGAATCCGAATGTCGACACCTTCAACTACAATGTCAGTTCGACTAAGTTTGTCTCATCCAAACGCAGTATGTTGTCAGTTATCGCTAGGATCTTTGACCCTCTTGGTTTTTTATCTCCGGTAATTTTTCATGCAAAACATCAGTTGCAATGTGTTTGGTGGTTTGGTGTTTCGTGGGACGAGCGATTTCCATTAGATTTGGAAGGTCCCTGGCTGTCATTTGTTGATGAGTTACATAATTTATCTCTGATTCAAGTACCAAGATTCGTTGGTACTTCTGAAGGGTCATCGTATGAGTTATGTGGGTTTGCCGACTCCTCGATCAAAGGCTGGTGTATTTAAGGGTATCAGATCGCGACAGTGGAGTTTCCATGTTTTTGCTAGGTTGCAAGACCAAACTGGCACCCACCAAGACGCTTTCTATACACCGCCTCGAGCTCTGTGCAGCTGGGTTGCTCGCTCGCTGGTTAAGTCATATCAAGAGCATTCTTTCAACACAAATAGTGATTCAAAATGTTTTTGCTTGGTCAGACTCTTCAGTGGTGTTGTCTTGGCTTAACACACCCCATGTGTCATATAAAGTTTTTGTATCTAACCGTGTCCATAAGATACATGAATTGTTACCGTCTTGTTGTTGGTTTTATGTCAGCAATGAGTTGAACCCGGCAGATTGTGCCTCCAGAGGTTTACGACCTGGTGAGCTAGCTCAGCATGTACTTTATTGGAAAGGTCCTACTTTTCTCCATCAGTTCGGTGAGGGTTGGTCTTCAGAAATTAATCTGATTCCAACAGACCAGTTGTCTGAGGTCACAGGTGCTGTCTCTCATGTGGTTGAAACAACGGGGGAGCCAGTAGAGTGGTTCTCTCGCTTTTCTTCCCTAAACCATATGTTGAGAGTTATAATTCGTTTACAACGCTTTGTCAAATTGTGTCGCAAGGTCCCAGTGGACACAAGTTGTTTCTCACTCCAGGAGTATAATGATGCATTGACAGTTGTTGTCAAGTGCTCTCAAAGTGTATTCTTACACTCTTTGTTTCTCGAGTTATCATCTGGTAAAACTGTCTCTTCCCAACCACTTGCATGTTTATCGCCGTTCATCGATGAGTGTGGTGTCATTCGGGTAGGATGTCGTCTTCGTCACTCCTTGTTGTCAGATCGACGCAAGTACCCTATTCTGTTGTCTAAGGCATCATATTTGTCATTATTAATAGCTCGTCATTGGCATTTGTTTGCGTGTCATGCAGGTCCACGTCTCATGTCAGCTGTAATATGTAGACAATTCTGGATCATGGGTGACCGCCTCGTTATTCGCCGCGCAATTAGTGAGTGCACTACTTGTGTCAGGTTATCTGCTCGTAACCTCCAACCAGTCATGTCCGATGTACCTGACGTTAGAATTCAGCAATGCCACCCTTTTTCTTGTGTAGGTATTGACTATGCGGGTCCCATCATTATGAAAGAGACCAGTTTGCGAAAGGCTAGACAATATAAAATATATATTGCTGTTTTTGTTTGCATGAGTGTCAAGGTAGTTCACCTTGAACTAGTGACAGATCTGTCAACAGATGCCTTTTTGGCAGCATTTGATCGATTCGTAGCTCGATGAGGAAGGCCATCTGCAGTATATACCGATTGTGGCACTAATTTTGTCGGTGCCTCAAAAAGATTATTTGATCTAGTTAATGATCCAAAGAATCGCGAACAGCTCAGCTCAGCGTTTGTGTGCTCTTGGTATTTTAATCCTCCCAGTGCCCCTCATTTTGGGGGACTTTGGGAGGCGGCTGTGCGTTCTACAAAGCTCTTGTTGGTACGAGTGGTTGGCAATCAGGTATTATCGTTGGAAGAATTTTCTACAGTTCTGTGCAGAATAGAGTCAGCTCTGAATTCAAGACCACTTACACCATCGTCTAATGATCCAAATGATCTAGATTGCCTCACTCCAGGTCATTTTCTTGTTGGTCGTCCCTTATGCGCAGTGCCTGAAGCAGAGGTCCCTATCAGTTCGGTACACCTTAGAAACCGTAGGAAGCTCCTTCATCAGGTGTTTCAGGCATTTTGGCGTCGTTGGTCTAACGAGTAATTACACACTTTACAGACCAAGGGACGTTGGTTAGTCAACAAGGAGAACATAAAGGTCGATGATTTAGTTATTATAAAGGATAACACTTCGTCTCCATTAGTGTGGAAATTAGGTCGTGTCCAATAGCTCCTCCCAGGTCGGGATGGGGTTGTCAGAGTAGTAAAATTACTCACCAAGCAAGGCATTATCGTTAGGCCAGTAGTGAAGCTAGTTCCACTTCCTATCCAATAAATATAATTTTTATGCACCTATAGTAATTTATTTTAAGCCTTTTAATTCTGTTTTTACACTTAATTCTTATGCTCCTTTATAAAATTACAGAATTCAGTTATAATAATATATTGTAATATTTTTTTTGTTTAACATTATTAACCTTGTAACCAATTGCTGGTTCAGCATTTAGTTACTATTACTGCTCTTATAGTTTTTTTTTTGTTTTTAATTTTTTTAATGGTATGATATATGACAATAATATGACAGTAATATGACAGTAATGTGTGAAGTCTTAGCTTGTAGTGAGTTGTTGCGTTGAAAGGTTGGCTCCTATGACTTCACATAATCACATGGTATTAAGGTAATAGATCTATATAACTTTGTTATTTTATTGTAAATTTTGTTTTTGTTCCCAGTTATTTGTTATCAATTGTTATTTGACAGAAGTTATTTTTGTTTAAATTATGCTCATAGAGACTATTCAATTATTATTTTAAAAAAACAATGTACTATCCTTTATGCCCCTGATAATTTGTATCAACGGCGACAGTTCCAGTTCAGCTCTACCTTAGTCACCTTTCCAGACCAGCTCGGCCATAAGTTCGATCGCCCATCTCCTGATCAAAACTCAGCAGTTCGCATGTTCCACCTATGTACTACTCAGCTCAAGTATTAAGTTGAGATACACCTTATGTATCTGAAGGGGGAGTATGTTCGCACCCCGACATAGGCTCCACTGGCCATTAATATTATTTTGCTAATGTTGGTGACACTGTTCTTGTTCACCAGCTCCGGTCGTGTTAATCGTCGTATGCTCTGGCACACAATACGGAGCCATATCATTCTTCATCGTTTTTTAACTGCCGTTCTTGGCCATGACATGTGCCTTCTGTCTGTCGCTCCAGACCTTATGTACTTGAACAGCAAGTTTTGCAATTAACTCATAAGTGGTTTGTATTAAGTTGAAATTGCATTTCCGTTGGTTGCAATTGTCAACTTTATTGCACCTCCAGTTCGGCGTCAGGGCAATAAGAGTGACGTCTCCATTGTTTCATCAGCTCGGATTCAACGTGGCCTGATCGTCCATGCGTGGTTGCTCGTCTCACCGTCAGCTCGACAGACGCAGGAAGTTCGTCCGAATTTATCCGGGACATCGGCAGCTCCTCCTTTCCCGTATATTATGTATATTGAATAGCTCTGTTATTTGATTAATGTCATTTTATTATATTTGTAAGTTATGTCAGGTGGATTGGCCATCCCCTGGTAAGTGTATTTGTATTATTATATGTGTTCAATAAATCTTGTTAACAGTAGCCTAATTTTAGAATTGTATTAATTCAGTGTGGTGCGAGTCGTGGATGCCAACCTTTTGCCCAAGGAGCATCTAAGGCGCAAACAATAATAAAAATGCGGCGATTTGCGCTTACAAAATATAATAATATGACGTCCGCGGTGATTAGCACACACGGCAGCAAAATAATAATAATATAAATTTAATTATACGATTTTCTAGGTGGCGATTAGCGCTTGCACTAGAAAATATAATAATTAAGAAAAACGCACCTTTAAGGCGATCGGCGCCCTCAATAACAGAAAATACAATCGGCGATATTAACCGGTAAAAAATATATAAAAAAAACTAAAGGCGTTTTTAACACTTCGTAACCATAACGAAAAAGGTACGATCGCGAATGGTTAAAATTACGACGGCCGTGTTAAATAATAGTCGCCAGCCGATCCGGCGGCGAGAGATAGCGCTTTAATCTGCATAATATTATATAATAATTCACAATATTGACAAAATATACAAAAATAAAGAAAATAATTATGTTGTGTGTGTGTGTGCCGTCGGCCGATGTGTTAAACAATAATAATCGCGCAGACGGCACGGCGGCGATGATAATCTACATATTAGATAATAATTCACAATCACGCAATTAATACAAAAATAAAAACAATATAATAAAAGGACAATAAAATTATGTGTGACTGTGTGTGTAGTGGTCGGTGTGATGTACTAGTATTGGAGTGGCGGAGACGACGGCGCGAACACATACCGATTTACAATTAGAATACAAAAAATCAATAAATAAATATCTTATGCAAAATATGAAATATTATTTTAACATGAAGAAAAAGTTACAAAAAATATATATGTTAAACTATTTAATATAAATAGTATACATTTTAAAATATTTTTTACTTAATTTAATAATCTTTTCACATATTCAATAAATATATTATAAACATCAACTCCTGTAACTAATAAATTACAACTAAAACAGAATTGGGTATTAATTATTTAAATTAAATTTACAGTAAAATTTCTAGGTAAGTAAACTTTAACTTAGCTTTGAGAAAAAAATACATTTTGAGCAAATTTAGTTAACATTTGTGACATCCATACAATGTTTTTTTTTAAAGTTCTGTCTTCTCAGGATTAAAGCATATTTTAGGATATAGAAAGGTCCATACAAAATATAATAAATTATATTATACGAGATTAATTTAAATTTAATACCTAAACTGAAAATCTATTATTTTGATAAGGAATAATAGTAACTTTTATGTAAATAATATTAAGTTTAAAATAAATAGTGACTGAAATATCAAAATATGAATGATAAATTTGTATTTTACCCAGATGTAGCTTATCTACGTACATAGTTCTATTATATAAAATTATAAAAATTAAATTTTACTCATGGATATTAGGTATATTGTAGCCTGTAGGTAATACATTAATATACATTGTAATTCACCATGCATGGTTACAGATTTCTTTCTTCAATAATGCAGTTATAAAAAATCTGAATTTTAAACATACAATAAGACAATAATTTTAAATTCTTGAAATTTTTGTATTATTTATGGATCGTCCTGTGGAGATTCAAACTTCTGTTTTTCAAACGAGAACACCCCTTATCATCTAAAAATCATACAGTGGGTAATTTTTCTGAAAATATTGACGTATTTGAATCCAAATTTGTATCGGTAGTTTTTGAGTTATTTAACTTTATGTTTTAAAGATAAAAGATACATGGTAATATATGATAATGGGCTTATAAGAAATGAGGAATTTTACAGTTTTAGTCATTAATATTAATCTATATTAAGTATAAATAATTTATAAAAATAACCTAAGTAAAAGTAATAAATACTAGGCTAAACGTTAAGTTTTTTTTATTTTTTAAACAAATTTTAAAGGACTATTATCCTTAGTATATACAGATTTTAATGACAAGAAATTAGTCAATCAAAATTTGAATTTAATTTATCAACATTATCTCGCACTAAACAATATACAGTAAAAGAGGGTTTTTCTTATTTAAAAAATAGAAACTTGTATGACCTCATGTGCCATGACAATCCGTGTACAAAATGATTTCAGAATTTAAAAACATGGTTTGAGTAATCAGTATATTTTATGAAATTCCAAAAATCAGAATTTGAATAATTCATTATAAAATTAAAACATGAGGGGTGTGCATGCTTGGTGAATCACTCTGTATAATATTTTAAAATCTTTATATTTTAATATTAATATACATTTTACTGGCATTTTAGGTTTTATAAAAAGAATTAAAATCTTAAACTTAAAATAAATAGTGATTTAAAATACCGGAGGACCAGACATCGTAGCTTACTATTTGACGAGATCGAAATGCCCATGGATTGGTTTTTTAGATACTCTGTAGTCATGTTGGTTTTAGAACTCCATGCTTGGAGTCCCGATCTTTTTACTAGTTCAATATTGAACTTTGCAACATTAACTGTTCCCGTCAACTATACCTACTAATTTATAGAGTGGAGTACATAGAGCACTCGTCATACATACTCATTTCATAACCATTTTTTATACCACTGTTTGATAAATAGATTCAATTTATGATGTTGATCTATACTAATATCGTTGCCTATTTTGTAATATAAATAACAACTATGTCATCTAATTCGGAAACTATAATAATTTTATTAATAGCAAAATGTATTTTTTAATTGTTTGTTTGTATAGAGTACATAGGTAGGTGAATCACAATCAATTTATTTGGGTAGTATTTTATGCATTTTTTGTTTGTTATTATTTCTATAGTTATTTGAAAAACATACCCATCAATTATATATTTTAAATATTTTAATTTTTTTTTAATGTCATGAAGTAATAAGATACTAAATATATAGATATATAATTCTATCCAATTGAAATTATTAAATGAAAAAAAATTATTTATTCCTTGTTTTAATTACATATCATAGAAGGTAAACGTAAGTAAACCATTAAAATAACATTTAATAAACATTCTAGTCCTTTTATTGGCACAACTAACATAAGTGAAATGTGCACTAACGAAATGTTAGAGGCCTCAGAACTAAGCTATGCTAAGCCTCTGAAATTGATGTATAACTCCATGTTTTCACTTCTGAACCATATTGTATGCTTTTTATTATGACCGATTTTCACAAGATTTCATTATTTTTATTTTTTTTTTTTAAAGCAACGAAATTAAAAATCAAAATTCAACTAAAGGAAAATTAATATTATTTTCTGTCAAACGAAAAAAAATGAATCAATTCATACCATTCTACTATGCATGAGAGTTTTATACGAAATTGCATTATATTGCCTGACTTAAAGACACAAAAGCAGACCTAATTTTGTTTTGTAGAAGATGATCTATTACAAAACAACAATAGACTATGTGCATATTTCAAATGATTAGTAAATTACTTAATGACACTAATCGTTATATATATATAAATTATTCTAGTTATAAATAATAAGGAACCACATTATGATGAATACAATGCACGTAAGTTATTATAAAAAAAAAATTAAGATTTATTTCTAACTTAATGTAAATATAGTGCCATTTATATTTAATTAATATCACTAGGAGTAAAATAATAATTTCGTTACAATATTAATATGTATGTAATACAAACTGTCCCAGTGTTGACAATCTCAAAAATGTTCAATAAATTTATTGAAATAACTTTTATTGACAACGGTCCACAACGATCTAAACGGTTGACAGGAAAGGCGTGTTTAACGGAGGGCAAAAAAGGCATTAATCTGTAGTGGAAACATTCTAAACAATTTTTTAGTTGGCATTCAAATGGAATATTAAAATTTTTAGGTATTATTTGAAACATATTTTTAATAATAATAAAATGTATACCTATAAAAGTGCAGATCTAAATAAGTTATATACTTGAATGAATAGTTTGAATATAAATTATAATGCATCCATGCAATCAAGGCTCGAGGAGTAATGATTTAATATTATATAATACTTTATAGAGGAACATATTAACAAACATAAATATAATATATAATATGTGAAGATAAACATAATAGTAAAATAAATAAAATAGGCACCTAATTTTATTCATTTGTATAGAAATAACTCACACTACTCAGATGTACCATGACGTAATGTTGTTACAATTGCATTTTCATTTGATATAGGTACAAAAAAACATTTATATTTTACATCTTTAACACTTACTATACATTCATCTGATAATAATGCCGTATTTACAATAAAAGTTCCTAAGTTAGACGATACTGTAGGAGTGTAGGAGAAGAAAAAAGAATAAAAACTAAGGCGATTTAAAAATTGTTTGAACTATTATCTTGAACTCAGATTTATTTTGTCGTTTTACTACGAAATTTTTTAGCATAGCAAAATTATCTTTTATTTTAGGGGTGCTAATAGTTATGTTTAAATCATGTAATGTTATTTTTTCATAGATCTTATCTGCTAACGATTAACGAAACATACGGAGGAAAAATTGTAATACTGTTTTCTTTCCCTAGAGTTACTGTATTTAATATTTAATATTTTTCAAATAACAGTGTAGTTTTTGTTTTTCAATTATTCGATTCGAGATTTAATGTAGTGGATACATGGCACTTAAAAGGATTTTTCTTATTTCCTAAAAATAGTTTTCACACTTAAAATTACTGAAATTATAAAGGATCTATGTATCCTCACTACCATAGTAAGATTTACTAAGCTATAAAAAACCAACTTAACTATTAAAAAAGCTATAATTTTTTCGGCCCCCAAAAATTTGATACTTTGGGCATTTGCCTCCCTTTTGGTATTTCCCTAATGACAATTTTGTATTTGTATAGAAAAATTTAAATATTGTAATTTAGTTACATTGTAATATCGCTTCTGTGTTACATGTATCTAGGTGATGTTACTTATACCGACGTACACAACTTTATTTTTATGAAACGGCTATAGAACATCACACTGATGTTAATTGGTGATGTTTTTTTGTGATCTAAATTCAACCTCTCGACGATTTTGAGTAACTCGCCATGCACAGTGGGTTAGTGGTATTGTATAACAATACAAAGACAATTAATTTAACTATTGGTATTATTGGTTAACTATAAAAATTAAAAACATAAATGTAATAAAGGAAGTCAAGATTTTCGCATAGCAATTATAAAATTAAATAAAAAAAAATAAAATTACATACATGAACCAAAAAAATAATAAGTTACACTGGTATATAGGTACACACTACCCATTTACTACAGTTTTATCAAAATATATTTATTATTGTATTTTGTCATAATATTTGATTACCTAATCAAATATGAAAGTTTTTATTTTTTTAATCTTGACATTGTATGTCAAAATATTACGTAGATGTATTACTAATTATTATTAATTTAAGGAATCATTAAACTTTCAGATCCGATTACCATAGAAGATTACCAAGAATTACGTAAACGTAAGTCAAATAATTTAATTGTATTATTTCTTTAGCCTAATTCCAACACATAAATTCAATGACATTATTATCATAATATTTCATTTTTCAAGCTGTTTAAAATATGTGTAAAAACCAACTTACATTTTATTTTAATCTCACGCGTATTCAGTCAGACATTTAAAGGCTTTTCAATTCATCTCGAATCATAATTTATGATTTTTAATTTTGTTGCTATAAAGCTTATGCACTAAATTGTGTGCATGTCATAAATTATGACTTGTTAATAGAATAATAACATTTTATAATATTATGTATAATCTAATCAGTAAATTATGACATATTTTAGTGTATTATGGTCTGTAAGATATTCTTTTAAGATTTCATTATTAAAAATGAAACCTTGATTAACAACACAATTCAAGGCACTATTTTTGGGAAGTAAAAATGTTACCCCATTTAGTTAACTTTTATAATAATTGTTTATTACCTGAAATGGTTGATCCACGCTATGATAGAAATTTACCATTGAGAGATGGACTGAAAGAGTTAAGCTAATAAACTAGGTTCCTATTTTTTTCAGTTTATGTTTTGTATAAATTGAATTGTAATTATGTCCAACATTAGTTTTTTTTACATTTTTATATTTATTTACTAGGTACCATAAGTTATTCTTTCTAAATAATATTTGCATAATAATATATAAATATGTAAGGTAGGTAACGGTATACCTATATATATTTATTATTATTTTTTACTATATTTATTACTATCTATTATAAAATAAAATATGCTTTTACAAGATAAATCGTTTTTAAAAATATGTATTTAAAAAATATGAATTGTTTAAAAATTTAAAAATTAAAAACGCTACACTGAATAATTATTATCACACTATAGCAACTTAAATTTCTACATACCTATATGTTGATATACTAAATCATGCAATATTAAAAAATAAACAGATCACTGATCTTGATTGGATTTATTGTGTATTATCTTTATCTATGCATTTATAAATAATACAAAAATAATATTATATTATATTAATAATATGATAGTAGTATATGTCGTATGATGCGTGTGGGTACCCGGTAGACTAAAAGTAATGTAGTCTATTGTTTGATTCTTCGAATGCGGATACGGGTCGTAATGCATTATTGAGACACATTGTACACCAGCGCGCACACACACTAATGATCATTTACACTCGCACACATTGATATGACCAGGTTTACTTGACACTTAATTTGCCTAAATCTTACTCCTTAGAAAATGACCGACTAGAACCCCCTTAAACGTACCCCCTTGGCGCTTTAATAAAAGTATAATAGACCTAAGCTTATCACTATCTAACAAAAACACAACTGATAAGAATATTTATAAAGGTCTTCATTACGAACTTCTGCAATCGTACCCGGAATACATACAGATATACACCGACGCGTCGAAAATTGATCAGAAATCTGGACTAGCCATAATATCAAATAATATAAACATCCAATTAAGAACTAATGAGGTATTTAATATTTGTACCGTAGAAGCCCTAGCGATACTCACAGCGATTCAAAGCATTCATTATACTAACGATAAGAAATATCTATTAATGATAGATTTTCTAAGTAATTTAATCAGCATATACAATTTAAATACGTCTCAACCAGTTATCTGCCGTATAATCAATGAACTATATGAGCGTAAAAATAGTATATCGCTTGCATGAATCCCGGGACACGTCGGCATAAGAGGTAATGAAGAAGATGATCTAAAAGCAAAAGAAACAACAGGTACCTCCGCTTTTGAAGTATGTCCCCTCATATCTGACAGAGACTTGTTAAACTCAACCAAATTTAAGTACATGGATGAATGGAAAAACCTCTGGGTAAAATGTGATAACAATAAGCTAAGAGAAATTAAACACTCTATACTACCATGGCCCAAACCATTTGAAATGTCTAGAAGGGACGAGGTAATTCTTGTCCGCTTACGAATAGGCCACACTCGCATGACTCACGGATATCTCATGGCCAAAGAAGACCCTCCATCATGCCCGACGTGCGGAACAATCATTACAGTCAAACATACACTTACAGAATGTCGAAAGTTCATTGAAAGGCGCATTGAGCTAAGACTTCCTGAGACACTATACGAGATGCTAGCACCCACTCCTGAGACGACCAGAAGACTCTTCAATTTTGTCAACTCAACAGAACTGCGTCAACTGATTTAAATATTTGTACTTTAGTTAAAATTAATTTGTAAATATATAGGTAACTAGTAGAAATTAAAATAGTATGTAAGCAATTAATGTAAATGTAAACATGTAACGCTGGCTAATAACCTCGCATTTGATGCCATAAACAAAACAAAAAAAAAAAGATATTCTTTAAAATCTATTAAATAACTAATATTAGACTAATCAGAATTATATTTTTCAGCTATACCACTGCTGCATGAAGATTCTTATGAATTATATTTGATGAGATTAAAACGTCTAAGTAATTATTTTCGTAATTCATTAAAAAAATGTAGCATAATATATTATATTATTAAATAATTGCAGTTATGGGTTTTCTTCACTATTTATTTGCGAAATTTTCAATTTTCTAAAAAATTTGGGCACCATTACCACCGTTCTCCAATCTTCTCGATTCTTTATTTTATTTTTCCAAAATGTCACTTCCAGTTTTTCCGGATCTTTCCTCGCCACATCTATCCGTTGAAGCGTTCCAAGCCTATAAGTAACCCAGATCTTACTAATTTATTATGCATATATATATTATGTTAAGAATGCGTTCCATTTGATGAAGAAACATGGAGCACAGACATGAACGAATTAAAGCAGGATCATGAAAGTAAGTGCTGATACAAAAATGATATGTAAAATATAATTTTGATAAAATAAAGCTTCATAAAGGGTGTTAAATGTCCGATCAAGTTTATGGTTCTGAAAACTATTGCTTACTTGACCAGTATACTACGCATCAGATTTTGGATAAGTAACTTACAGATCGATAAAATATCTTACTCAATGTCATTTGTGGTTTAATTTGTTTGGTAATCAGGGTTATCAATCATGTTTATGCACTCATAGTAGGTGATTTATACAGATTTTTTACCCCAATAGCCATTGCGATCTCATTTGCAAATACTTTTAAGGGCACAGATAAGCTGCTCGTTTACGATCCATTAATCTTAGTCCATTTTATGCATCGAACTTTGTCCGGTCGGGAGGCGTCTTGATAAATTATCACTGATAAGTGATTACAATATTACAGTAGTACATTTGTAAGCACGGGAAGAACTCAATGCTGTATCACAGAATAATGTTGTATCGGCATCTTATCAGTTTGTCAATTTCTTTCAAACAGTAATTATTTTGTGTAGACTATTCTTATTTATTTATTTTATAACTCAATTTTTTGCTTTGAAATTTTTTGTCGGTGGTAGTTGATATTAATTGTATTGATGTTTTTTTTCATATATTTTAATACGAAATACAAAAATATTATTTTTATTTTTATTTTTAATTCTACATTTTATGTGAAAAAAGTTCAATAGCTTATAGGCACTACAATCCAGGAAAATATTAAGGTCAGGAAGGCCTCTTACCTTAAGTCATGTGACATTACTGTCGATAACAGCGTAAAGTGCAGGCCACAACCTGTTACCGCTGCCGATTCCTTGACCTAATTTCGCTAAAATTGGAATGCACCGAGGACATCTTTTTTCTCTTTCATAAAAGTCATTTAATACTGTAGTATTCTATCTACATTTTCGTTTTATTCCACTGCACCGAACACAATGCATGCACAAGCACTTTAACCACATAACAATTTAAGAAGACTTTACACTGACATTTGTTTCTCCGTCTGACAGCCGTTCATTTTTACCTTCGTTCCTTTAAAAATTAAGGCGAATCGACCTATTATAAATAACGATAAAAATTATGTGTGTTTGTTTAAAATAATAATGTAGTTTTAAATGAGTTATGAGCACTTTTCTTTACGTGGCTAAGTTATTTAGGCCTTTCCGCGTTCATGGCGAATTGATTAATTAATACCTATGCTCAGGGTTTGGGACTTAAAGCATTTGCTTATTTTTTATGGATTGACTTAAAATGTAGCAGATCACTATGGAGGTGTATGTCATGCTACAACACGTTCATTTATGAAATTTGAAAGTGCTTTTTTTTGCTTTTTTCAGCGATTTTTAAAAAAAATGCTAATTTCCAGTTTTTATGATTACTTTTGCTTTTTCGATCAGTTTTTTTAGTTTTTTATGGTTTTATCCTGCAAAGTTGTTTTTGATAGAATTAAAATTAAAAATAATTCTTATCTTATCTACGTTGCCGCGTATTTAATTAATTAATTAATTGTTTTTCAATTATTTGTAAATATTGTTTACATTTTATTTTTCAGAAAATCCATAAAATCCTTAAAATCTCGAATGTGAAGTTTTTTTTTTGTAATATAAAGATAAAGATTTATTTATTTTTTGATTTTTTAGTTTTTATTTTTGTTGAAATTTAAGTTTTTTAAATGCTTATTTGAGTGCTTATAATGATGTTTTTTAACGCTTTTTTTAAGCGCTTATTTGAATGATTTTAAGTGCTATAAGTCCCGAGCCCTGCGGCTATGCTACAAAATCAGAAACTATACTAAATGTTTAATTTATTGTCTACAGTATATTGAAATTCATAAATTAACTATATGGAGTCTTGGGTGTACTATTAAAGTGTACTACTAACCTAACATCAAAAAATCCCCGACTTTGTAAAAAAAAATTTTAAGAAAATTAGTGTCCCCACTGCCCTCATTAGTTTGGACTGTTTGGAGTGAATTCTAGTTTTGGATGAATGAATGCTGATATAACATGTTTTTTCTCTGGATCTGTTGCTAAAGTTTCAACTAGTGGAGATGAAGTCTCTATTACGTTCATTATTATAATACTAATCATTGCGACTCGCCCAGTGACAAAGTATATATTATACACTTTTGTTTCTAGTTGACCATAGTGTACTTTTTGTTTCATTTCTTCCCTAATTTGATCTTGAGTGTACTTTATGTCTTTTAAATAGTAAATTTGACTTGTTTTTATGCGATGATCCTACATTGTTTAAATATCATAATCTGCGTGTGGTTTCTTCCCATAAATCCTTAATAACAGAATTTCAATAAAATCAGTATATTGTGATTTTTTTTAGAGACGATCTGGAATTAGGACGACTCGATTTGCATAACCCCGACAAGTCTCATTTAATGCAATTATATCGGCTTTTTCCAGGATGTGGTTCTTGGATTATTTATCTTCATCACAAGTCACAAATAAAGAGTCATTATTAGTAATATATAACCACTCGTTTTTAGGTATTAGTTTATGGAACACAGTTGTTTCGATTACCATGTGTCTCATTCCACAACTTTCTGGTATTTTTCTCGGCTCGTGCATCAAGAATATTTCACACATTGGTCTCATACTCCTAGAATGTGAAGAGTGCATTACGATAACAGGATATGTCTTCTTTGGGACAAGCGTATTAATTATTAATAATTATTATAATTTCAGATCAGAACTTTATTGTGTACGAGTTGTGAATGTTGTCAAAAAATAATTGAGGCCCATCCATAGCATACATATACGTTTTCATAAAATTATAATATATATTATAATTATATACATGTATACATTTATATTATAATTATGTACATATATACATGTATATATAGTTATTAAGAAAAAAACATTTTAAAAATTTAAAAAAAAACAATTGTTTATTAAAAAAAAACTTAATTCAACTTTATCACAAGATAAACCATTTAATGTGATTTTTGACATGGCTTGTTCTTCACGAGAAAGTCAATATCTGGATTAAAACTTGTTAGTGTTAGTTTTAGTCTTAAATCATTCTCAACATTCAGCTTATTCCTATATTTATTTTTTAAATAAATTAAAGTAGAAAAAGCACAATAATATTATTTTAAATATATAAAATATTTAATATTATACCTATGGCTCGCGGCCCATGGGTTGGGAACCGCTGGGCTAGAGACATGTTTGTAACAGGCAAGCGTTAAAAATCTACTAAAGTATAAGTTATAATCAATATAATATTTGAATGTTAACGATATTTATTAACCTATTTAAATTCTGATTAAAATTGGTTCAATTAACAACTATATAACTGACGTTTTATTATTTTTTAATTATAAATAAAAACACTTATAAATTCATTAAGAGTTTACTTAATTTAAATACATGTGGTTTAGTACCCACCAGCATGAATACTTGAATACAGAATCAGCCACTGATTAAGTATAAACTATACATAGATAGCTCATTTAGTGATGAAATATAGGCGTATGGCAAAGCTGAAACCAAAGCCACAGAAGGCAGAAATCTAGTAGAGTGCCAGTGGCTGAGTGAGGGCAGGCCACCGGATCCACTAGAGGTGACGGTATTTTTTTCCTTTGACATTTCTATATGATATTTAAAAGGGTATGAGTCGGGATACCGAAGATATACCGGTATTTTCGACATTTTTCGGTATACTCGATATCCGGTATAAACGATACTTCAGTATTATCGATATTTTCGATATTATCGCGGTATTCTGCAGATATTTTCAATATTTTTGTGATGTCATAGATTATAGTTATGATTTAATTTATTTCTTATTAAATTGATAAAAAAAATTAGATCACCAATTCGTATTTAAACATTTTTCTACTACTATCAGATCGTATCTGCTCCCGACAGTAAAATTGTTTGCTGAATTATTTCTATACTTTAAGAGCCCAAATTTACTATATTTAGGTTTTCAAATCCCGAAAACCCCGTTTTTGAGAAAGAGGTAGCTGATATTGCAGTAGATAATTTAGTAGTTAACGTATCTCAGGAATTACAAAAGGTAGGCAAAAGTATAATCTAAGTTGTCACAAACACGAACCATTTAACTTTAGAATATTCTGAGCATACAGAAAATCATGAAAATCCAATATAAACAGAAATTTCAGAACAACCCAAGGACTCCAAAATTCCAAAAAATTCTGAACAGCAAAAATTAGAGGAGAGTTACTCAAAGATCCAAATTGATTGGACTAAAGATCAAATACTAAGATCATCAAATTTCTAAGATTACCTCTTTTACTAGCATTAGCTCCGAAAAAATGTCAAGAGCTTACTACTAAAAACTTTGGTGGCAGAGAAAATGTTAATCTGTATTTCGATAACAAACTTGTAGCGGGAGAAACAAACGAGGAGCGTGATTTTCCATTAAGTGAATTAATTAAAAGAGCAAAACAGTTCGACATTGAATTTAGTCCCAAAAAAATACAGCGTTAAGTTTCTAAAGTTAAGTTTTGGGATTTATACTTAGTGCTGAAGGTATGCAACCAGACACTGAGAGGGTAATATTAATAAGAAAAATAAAAAAGTTACAATCTTTTTAGCATGGTTAATTATTTAAGAGATTATTTATTCCTAATCTTTCTGAAATAGTGACAAAATTCAGACAGCTGTTAAAGAAAGATGTTTTATGGGAATGAACAATGAGTGAAAATATATTTTTTGAGAAAATTAAAAAGATTTTGTGTGAAATACCTAGTTTAAATAATTTTTATCTAAGTGAAAATATTGAAATACATACTAGTGCTTCAGAAAAAGCAATAGGATGTTGTACATTTCAAAACAAAGAAACTGTTCATTATGCTTCAAGATGTCTGATTGATTCTGAAATAAACTTTGCTCAGGTAGAGAAGGAAATGCCAGATATAGTTTTGCATGTACTAAATTTCATAATTTAATTTATGAGCAAAAACAAGTATCTATTATCGAACTGGAGACACTAGGATGCTCATTCGAGGTAGCAGTGTAGCATAAGCACTTAAAAGATCAATAGAAACCCTACATGAATCCGTTGAAATGATATGTCAATGAAAGGAGCACTTATAAGCACACCAAATGTGTAACATGGCAGTCAGTGATATCTATTATAAAATCTTGTGAACTTTGACTCCAACAATCTGCGGCAAATATAATTACCTTATAAATTCAATGATCCCAATATGTCTAGAAATTAACCAATCCAAGAGGTCTTAAATAACCCACCATGACAACAGCTAAAGTCTCGCAAACCAATAATATGGGATAATATAGCAATAGCTCACCCTTGCACATTTAACCTCGAAAACTCTAAGATCAGCTGGAGTGAGTCCATAAAATATAACCCTCACAAACAAATCAAATTCCAACAGTACCTCTATCAGGATTAAAGCTCCCAAGAAATGGTTGGTGAAGACTAAGTAGGATCAGAACACTACATGCAAGATGTAAGGAAATGCTGAATAAATAAAGAATGGTGGACTCCCCCAATTGGGCTATGATAATATACAGTCAATTTCTCACGTATCATCAATGTGGATGTGGTACATAAGGCCGAATCTCACTAATCCGAATACCGAAGAGCCTACTTCATTTGGCCGAATTTCATATCGCGAGGAATAGGCCGAATTTATAATATTGAAAAATAAATAAATAAATAGTTAAAAAGTTAAATTTATAATATGTATTGTATTAATGTATTAAAATTTAAAATGCATATAAAAATTATATGTGATGTATAGAATAATATATATGAATATTAATAAAAAAAAAATTTAAAAATTTAAATTGTAGGAAATTCCTTTTAAAAAATCGATGGTATTTCTATTATTTTTATCTTCAATAACATTTTGTATTTGAAGTTGTCGTTTTATACTTGCTAATTTAGGTTTTGGTCTTTGATTTCCAGATACAATCAATTCAATTTGACCTATAAATATGAATTGTGCCATACTTAAAATACATTTTTTTAAGAATAAAAATAAGTAAAATATTTACTTAAAGTATTTTGTTGTTCTTTACGCATTTCAATGATTAAACGATAAACTCCAACGTGTTCAGCGCCTACCAAAATTGTCCATCGCTTGTGCAAGGACTCTACATTATTTTGAGTTCGTGGAATTTTATTTTCGTTATTGTAATAAACCGACCAAAATGAAGGGGGATATAATGGTGCTGACCGAGATACTGATCCATTTCTAAACGTTCTTTTGATTTTTCCACGGATGTAGTTTTCTTCAAAATACGTTATTATTACGTCCGGAACTGAATAATTAGCCGATAAATTATCAAATGCGTCTGGAATTTGTTCTGGAGGTAAAAATGCTAAGGACCACAAACAACGCAATTTTAAAGCAAACTCAATATCGTTTCCGTAATGGGTGAACAGCCCACTCGATTGAATTTTTCGCCAAATGCTTTGACCTAAATGAAAAAAACAACCAGTTTGTTCACATTCGGGAAATATATTGGAAACGGCATTAATTGCAGCCTTTTCAAAGTCATTTATAATACATTTTGGTAATAGCTCATATCCATAATCATCACAAATTAAAATTAAACCTTCAAATAACTG